CTGAGGTTTATTCATTACACTTTTTGGTGTGAAAGGGCTTTTACATTTGCTATGAATAGAACTTCTTATATTAAAAACAATCAAGCCCTGCTCATATTTAAAAAGTAACGCGAAAGTAACGCAAAAGTAATATAACGCATTACTTTCCATAAAAAGTAACTAAGTAACGTACTTAGTTACTTTTTTAGGGAGTAACGCAATATTGTAATGCATTACTTTTAAAAGTAACTTTCCCCAACACTGGTTACTGGTAATGCGTTACCCCCAAAACTGCATTTTGAAAGTGTTGACATATTACTTCTAAACATTCTTTAAGTCGTTAACTCATAAAATTAGGAATAATCGTTACATTAAACATTAAGCAGGCTTGGGGTCTCTCAAAACCCACAACACAAAGGACTTGAACGTTTGAAGTTATTCTAGCAAGCACCTTTAAGATGCTGTCATTTTCAGTTTCTACATTGATCTCTACATTGCAGGAATGTACTGTACATGGAAAGTCCCCGGCTTTAATAAAAGTAAGCAAGATTCATATTGCATATTCTACTATTTAACTTTGTTAAAGTAATAAACAATTAAAATATCCATCAAATAGGCCTACACCTAGACCGGTTGTAGTTTTGACATGTGTATTATTCCAGGAAAATAAATAAATAAAAATAAATAAATAAAAGCACTCACCTGCTGCTCTCTTCATCGTCCCAAAATATTATTCACGACACATATGTGACCATCAGCAAAATTGTCGCCGTTTTGTGCATTTCTAGAAGTTTAACGACACAATCCAAAGCGATGTTTTCAGTCCAGTTTAATGAGGAAAGACTGTGATCAAATTCTTTGAGAGGCTCAGAGAGGGCGGGTTACATCTGTGTGGAACTAAAGCAATTCCCTCCCATCGTGCGCGCGACTGGCTCTGTTGATCCGACTCAATTTAGCAACTTTTCAGACTACCCTAGCAACTTTTTCTTCCAAAAGCACCTAGCAACATATTTAGCTATTTTAAAAATTAATTTGGCAACTTTTGATAAGTGACTCAAACAATAAAAAGGCACAATTTACCATTTAAATTACACAAAAAGAGAAAATCCAAAGATGCTTAGCAGTACACACATCACAGGAATTAAGTTAGCTGCTATTTGCAATTGTTTAATTTAATAGTAATAATAATAATTTCATAATTGAATACTGTTATTGTTCATTTATGAGACACTTTGTTAGTAGCTTGTACCTGCGATTGTTGATGAGTTAGTTACTAACTCATCAACAATCGCAGGTTGTTTTTCCATTTTTTCGCCACCTTTTCCATTTTTCTACATATTTTTCTAAGAAAAAAATATGTAGAAAAATGGAAAAGGTGCTAGTAAGTTTCCAGGACATTATCCGTTGTAACCCGAAAATGCGTAATTAAAAATGCAGGTAAAAAAAGAACCTGTGGAAAAATCAATACAGAAAATTCCTTCATATTAACATAGTAGATTGTGCACTATTTTTTTACAGACTTTTCTTAGAGTGTAGCATACTAACTAACTACCAATACACTGCTTAAAAGTGTAATTGTTCAGCATTTGTAGTTTTACTTGTTTACTAGCTAATAATAATAATAAAAAAAAAACTTAAATTGTATAATCGTTCAAAAATGTGTAAGCTTTTGATAATTACACTGAATTATCGAAAGCTTACACATTTTTGAACGATTATACAATTAATTAAGTTATTGATGAATAAATTGTACAGTGGTGTCCTCTAGTGACTGAGAAGTCATTTTCAGCCAAGGTCCAAAGTCTGTCAGCAGTATTTCAGAACATTTATTATATACCTGTACTGAAGTTTGTGTGATATACATTTTAAAGTCACAATGGTTCCCTGATAGCCCCAGTTTGAGCTTCAGCTGCACCTTGTCGATTTCCACACCCAGTTTTTTTTTTGTGGAGGCGGCTCACACACATCGACATTGTCCTGTTGAAGGAGCAGACATAATCATTTCTTAAATCTAACTATCTATCTTTCTGTCATTTTGAAATATAATGTAATACAATTTCAGATACAGTAGATGACCTAGACAACATAGTAGCTTAGGTGAAGGCAGTGTTTAATTTTTAGAATAAATCTGAAAATAAGTAAAAACGAGAGATGGAAGGGATTACTGATGCTTTCTGCTGCCTCCGCTGTCTCCACTGCTCCCTCCGCTTCTGCCTCTGCTGCTCAGTGATTCTGGGATTTGCACCCTGTTGTGGGGAACTTATGGTCACAAGTGCTCCCTGTAGGTTCCCAGAATCCACAGGCGCCACGCTTGAGGTCCTGGAGGGCATGGGTAGTGTGCCTGGGTGGCAGAGACAGGAATGCTCTGATGCTCAGCAAGCCTCCGTTTTCTTGTCTTCGTGGTTCTGGAGGGCACTGTTGCTCCTTTCAGAGGCTCAGCGGGCACTGCCTCTGCCGGTGGAGACCTGGCAAGCACTCCTGCTCCCTGTGGGGTCCCAGCATGCACAGTGTTCCTGTCAGGTAAAGGTGCTTCCTGAGGAGACTTGGAAGGCATGGGAGCACCCTGCACAGGAGAGGCTTGAGGCTTCTGCTGCAGCAGCTCCTGCCTCAGCGGCTCAGGTATCTTGAGCCTTTGCCTATCTGGGGTCCTGTTGGGCACGGGTGTTCCTTGAACAGAAGAGGCTTGAGGCTTCTGCTGCAGCAGGTCTTGCCTCAGTTGCTCAGGGATCTTTGGTTTTGGCACCTTTGGGGCAGGCATAGCTTTTCTCTGTAGAGACTTGCTGCGCATGGGTGTGTCTTGAGGAGACACTGTGGGCACTGGTGCTCCCTGTGGGGACCTAACAGGCACAGGTGCTCCCAGTTCAGAAGCGGCCTTTAGCAGATGTTGCCTCAGATACTCAGGGATCCTGTGCTTTCCTCTTCGTTGAGAGCCAGTGGTCACAGCTGGTCCCTGCGGGGACCCAGCAGTCTCAGGTGCTACCTGAGGCTTCTTCTGGCTCCACTTCCTTTGCTGTTGCCTGAAGGGTTTTCAGTATTTCATTAGATAATTCTGAGTCCCCACACTCAGCCTTCTCTGACCCAGCAAGCACAGGTGCTCCCTGAGGCTTCTTCTGGCTCCAGTTCCTCTGCTGCTCCGTGGACTTCATTGTTGCATCTGAGAAGCCTAAGTGCGGAGACTCAGCCTTCTTAGATGCATCGTTGAAGACCAGGGATGAGGTGTGGTCCCTCTTCTTGGTATAAGCAGGCACTGGTGAACTAATGTGCATAACTCAGATGCTTATAATGTAAAAGTATATACCTCCTTCTACATGCATATCTAATAATTGTAAGAGATAGCTATTAAACAATTAAAGCTTTCAGTATCAGCTTTCAGAATTAATCATAATCAAGGAGTGATGGGTGGAGTTCCTCACAAAGACAAGATAACATCTATGAGGCTCTGTATTTATGAGTAAATGTTTATGGTCATAGTCTGGATTTGGCACTGCAAGATTTGTTCTGTTCACTGAAAAGTGTTGTGTTTATAGAGAGATTATAATGTGTCATTAAATATCAAGAATATTGGAGGATATCATCTCTGTATAATTATCAACAATAAAACATTTTTAAAAAAAGCTCAAATCAGTCATTGCTTTGATCATTACTAATTTACATATCTGTAACTTTCCACACGGACCTCCACTGTGTAGCATGCGTTACCCCATAAAAAAGTAACTACTTTTTAACTTACTCTTTATGGAAAATAATGCATTACATTACTTTTGCGTTACTTTTTTGTCACATGAGCACAGCTTGCTTATTTGATTTTTAATAACAAAATACCCAAAAGTTATATTTTTGCCAACTGTAAAGGCCCTTACACACCAAAAGTGAAATGAATAAACCTCAGGCTGAAGGAAGGGTCTCTGCCTCTGCACCTCACTCCCAAATTCTCTCAACATGGGGCAGGAAAACAAAGTAACTTGCTTTACTTGTTTGAAAAAGTAACTCAGATATTTTTATGTATTTTTATATTTTTAAAACGCAGCGCTCAAGTTAAAAAGTTCAACTCCCATCTTCCTGCATTTTTTATCACGTGCATTCGGTTCATCACATACGCCGACATGCGGGTGGATCATTCTTTTCTCTTTACTGTTAACATTGGCATACTGTCAAAGTGTCGAATTCTAACGTTTGGTAATATTTCTATTCAAAATCGTGATTCCTCGATTTATAAAAAAATAAAATCGTGACAAAACATTACGTTCGAATTAATCTATAAAATCGGAAAAATCGCCCAGCCCTACTCCAAACTTTTAAATATAGTGTACATTTGTTCTTTATTATAATATAGGATATTCCAGATTACATAATTTGTAAATATTACTTGTTGATGAAGTTTAAGATTCATTAAATATATAAAAAATATATATAAAAAGAACGTTGTTTTTCATTCTCCACTTGCCTTTATTAACAATTTTCCATCCTCCATTTGCCAAATATTAACAACATATATCTGGATGTGCACAAAAAAAATCTTCTTACAAAATTCTTCCCAAAATGGTTAAAAGGCTCAGAGCCTGTGGAGATTGTGGCCAGTAAATGATGTGGTGTTTGTCAGAACAACACTGTTTCTGAATGTCATATGTGGAAAAACTTTCAGAGACGCGTAATCCATGTGCTGGGACGAGTTTGAGACTCAGAGTTTTGGAGCTGGACAGATGGAAAGAATTTTGTTTTCATGGGGTGATATATAATATACATATATAATTATATTGGTGTCCGTGATTACGTGTATGTACGGTATACGGATCAGTTTGATGAGATTCACCTTTATTTTCTGTCTTCGAGCTCGAGCAGCCTGTAGTGGATTCCCACAGAGAACTCGCCCAACACCTGTGCAGACATCACCGTCACGTATTACTTCCCAACACACAGCACACACCACGAAATATGTCATATTATTCTTAATATTACAGTTATTGTAGCATAAACTCATAATCACGTGTATAACAGTTTATGAGAGCCAATAGGGCTGCACAATTAAGGGGGAAAAAAAATAATTAGATTTTTCTGATGAAAATTACAACTGCTATTTAAAATATAATAATAATAATAATTATTATTATTATTATTATAATAAACCAAAATTTTGATTCTATGTCAGTATGACTATAATAATAATAATAATAATAATTTTATTAATAAAGACAATAACAATAATTATTAATATTATTATTTTTTATTAATATATTATTAGTAGTATTATTACTACTAAAAAACACTGAACAAAATAATAAGTGTTACTATTGTATTACTATTAATTTAATAATTATTATTATTATTATTTTCATATGATTAATTGTATTAATTATTATTGAATAAAACATTAAACAATTATTATTATTATTAAAACATTAAACAAAAGAAATATTACTACTGTAACATTTTATTGTAAACATTTGTATTTAATAAAACATACAAATAATAATTTCATTTGTTCAGTACAACTGTCAAACCATAATGAAAGTGAAAGTGACGTGACATGTGGCCAAGTATGGTTTCCCATACTAGGAATTAGTGCTCTGCATTTAACCCATCCAAAGTGCACACACACAGCAGTGAACACAC